TTAGGAGAAGAAAACTGACAAAAATGTTTCTATGATTAGAAATATGACAGTGGCGCGTACAGATGTGCAGCTGGAGTCTCTTAAAGGCTATTCAGGCTGGATTCTGTGACTTCTCATGAACTCTTCTTCATGAGATTACCACCTAACATTTAACTATCACAGTCACCTGCGTCATGGAGCCAACTTTGCTCGTTCCCCGGCTTCACTCACCGACTGAGACCTCCTGAGCGAAGGCCAGAGAGATGAGGAGGAGGGGAAGGCCCACGGCCACGCAGGTCACGATCTTGTCCACGGCGAGCTCCGTTCGAACGTTGCGGTATCGAGCCTGGTTCGGGTCCTTCAGCAGAAAGTCGCTGAACACGTACTCTGTAGCCACGTGTGCAATGGCCATGTCTATGCTCTGCTCTTACCTGTTGACACAAATCGACAAGCATCTCCGTTAGCACGTCTCACAGAGGTAATATGAAATCAGTTCGCTCTGTGCCATGACTTTGGTTGTTTTACCTTCATACTATGAATACGTTTGGCTTAAATCTGATGCATTTTAACAAATGTTTTGCAGTATTTTTGGGCACTAATGTCTTTAGAAATACAGCAGATATTCAGAAACTTATCCTGCGATATTAATGATCAAAGTTGGTTACAGAAAAATTAGCTCGAAACAAAATATTTTTGGCTTTACACTGAGACGCTGAGTGTGGGCTTGTTTTCATCTGGCTATCTGTTGTACTTCTGAAGTTACGAGGGTGTGAAACATGCTTCGAAACTACGAATTAAAAACTGTCAAATTTCAACCCACACTTGTGCACCTCGAGGGCCTGTAACTGTGAAAATGGCCTTTATATATATTATATTAAACTGAGTTTGCACAGCTCTGACATGTTCCCCGAGTTCCCGTCGCCTTTTTGCCAGGCAAATTTACTCTGAGCGATGCAAAGCAGCACACAAGGTGAACGTGTCCTGTTACAGCAGCTACTTAATTTCCCAGCTCGCTGCCTAATATTGCTCTAACGCAGCCATAATTAAACAAACACTAACATAATAACCTGTATTAGGCTTTAATTAGACATTCCTGATTCCATAATGAGGTTTTGCTCCTTTTGTTCACCAACAGCAGCTTTCTTTAACTCCACTTTCTCCTGTTTGTTAGTGTTCACTCCATGAGCACTTTATTAGGATCACGGCTCCATGTGCATTCGTGCAAATTAGCCAGTCATGTGGCAGATTCAGATAATTTGTGTAAATTCTATTATTACTCAGAGTCACAGAGGTTAAAGTTGGGATGATCTATGGGAGAAGGAAATCATCACAGACAGAAAGGACACGCTCCATCTGCAGTACTGAGAATATCTGCTAAAAATGAAAGGCAAACCACAGCTGATCCACCGTTTTATCTAAAGTGTCTGTATTTAAATCAAACTTTGACTTCTTGTCTCGATTATTTAGAGCTGCTGGTTCACATGAACCAAAATGGGCGCAGGGAGAGGATGAAGGAGCCTCCTCACTGGACATTTCTTTGGTCTTTGGAGGAAAAACCGCTCACACCACTCAGTGAAGGTCAGGCCACGTTCCTGCTCCGCTTCCTGCAGAAAACTCACAATCAGCGAGCTGCCAGCATACTTTAAGACAACTCCTGGTCCACGACGGCTCTGACGATCGATCCCTGAGGGGATCCAGTGCAGGGTGAGAAACTGCTTGACAGGGTTTTATTGAGGCCGACCCTCTGAATTCAATCTTCCATCTTTGGGCACCTTTATTTTTTATTTTATTAACTGTAGAAAAGCATTAAACAGGCTGAAACAGTCGGGCTGTGCCGCTCCGAGTGACCTTCGGCGTAAATTCAACATGTTTATGGAACGAGGCTCAGCTGTGAGCATCATTTCAGACCCTCAGCAGTGTTTTCATGTTCAGCTCTTAAAGCCGGCGCTCAGAGACACCGACAGTCGTGTCGATGTTTTCCTCCATGATTCACGGTGACAGCAGACGTTTTCTGGATCTTGTAGTGTGTTTGGTACGAGTTCTGTCTGCAAAGCAAACTGCTCTACAGGGATATTGGTTTCATTTTGCTCTACTGAACAAATATTCCAACAATTTCCTCGTAATAAACTGAAGCTCGCACACAGTTTCACTTGTCAAAGGGTCAAAAATAGCAGGAAAACACACAGACCTCTGTTAAGTAAAGCAACACAGCCTCTTTGTCTTCACCGTGTGTGCCAGTCCTTACATCCAGTTTCCCTCCTGATCTAAATATTCATCATGAGCATTTCTTGAAAGTCTGGTTAAGCTGAGAACTTTTGTTCTGTAGTCATTAACATAACAGCACAGAGCTCTTTAAAATCACCTTCTGTTAAAGCCTGGAGCCTCACGGGTTATTATCCACAGCGTCATGTCATGAACAAAGATTAAGATTAGTCACTGTGAGTCATGAGGTACCGGCCACTTCAGCCACCAGCGCCGCTGCTCCTCAGCTGTGCAACCTCAGACTCGTGGAGTAACGTGAAGCCTGATTTTAATAAAGAAGGATTTCAAAACCCCTCGTGATCATCTTCCCACGACATCATCGGCCTGCTTTGTTTGCTTTACTTGTTTGTTTTCTTCATTTTAATGCAAAGTCTTCATTATTCTCAAACATGGGCTGACTACACAACTCCGGAGCGTCAAACATGTTTTAGTTCAGGAGACCCGACCTGATCTGAAGTGGGAAAGACGACTGCATAACAACACACGTCCCTCCAAAGGTTTTAAAGCTTAAAGAAGCAGAATTAGAAAATACAAGAAGAGTACTTTAATTTGTCATGAATTGTTGTACTTGGGAAGTACGTTTTATCAGGCTAAATATACCTGACGTTAATGACAGTGTTACAAAACCTCATGTCAATCTCCATGGCACTTTTTAAAAAATACAAATGAGGTTGTAGTTTGTTTCCTGCCTCGTGTCTTAAGAGCTTGAAAAAAGAAGGTAACACTGTGGTCCCCCACACCACCACACCAGCAGCAGCCTGAACAGCTGACACAAGGCAGGATCCATACTGTTCTTTATGCCAAATTCTGACCCGACCATCTGAAACCTGCAGCAGAAACTGACACTCACTTCTTCCAACCTTCTGTTGTTTAACGTTGGTGCCCCGTGTGAACTGTCGTCTTAGCTGAGAACAGGAAACTGAAGCAACAGCGATGCACCAAAAAATACTCAGAGGTTGTGGTCTGGCCCTGAAGCCCATCTGCTGCGCTGTGGATTCAGAGATGTGCTTCTGTGTTATCTTGGCTGTAGCACGTGTCTGTTGTTCGAGTTGCTGTTACCTCCATATCAGCTCAAAGCAATCCAACCATTCTCCTCTGCCATCAGCGACACCACTTTACTCCAAAAACTGCCGCTCACTGGATATTTTCTCATTTTCTGACCACCCTCTGAAACACTCAGACCCACCTGTCTGGTAGCAACAACCATGCCACGTTCAAAGTCACTTAAGTCACTTTTAAGTCCCCATTCTGATGCTGTTTGAAAATCAGCTGGTCCTACATGTCTAAATGCACTTAGCTGCCATGTGATTGGCTGACATTTCTATTAATGAACAAATGGAAAAGTGTACCTTATAAAGCTATAGATAGATGTTTAATGTCACAGAGGAAGGACAGAAAACCTTTAAATGTAGAGTTTTTGTATCTAAACAAAGTTGCTGTTGTTTTTTTAAGTCTCTTTATGATTTTTGACCTGTTTGTCTCCATCTAACAATATTTCCAACCTTCCAGACACGTTCCCTCCTCTGTAATGCATCACCATAATGAAAAATATGGACTTATTAATAATTGTACTTCCACTTTCACACTTTAAAAACCGCCGGTGGACCGAAAACGATACTTTAGAGGCCGGTTCTGGCCGGCGGGTCGCAAGTTTGACACCCCGCTGGGGTGGCTAACAGCGATGAAGCAGCATAAACAGACGGTAGAGTGACTTTTAACGAAGTTGTGATTTACTCAAAGCTGGCACACATCATAAACCCGCGCTTACCTGCTGCTGCTTCCGTCAGGTGTGTATCAAAGCGTCATGGCCGCAGTGGAGGCTGTGTGCAACGGGAATCACTTCAGGTGCTTTCCAGCGCAGCTGCTCGGCGGTGTGACCGCCAGGCATTCAACAGACAGAACAAAACAACTTTCGAAATCAATCCTCTTCCTGTAAGACTCAAAACTCCTTCCGTTCGTCTTCATGGTGCCTTCACGGTTGGCTCAGAATTTTCCGATCTGTTGCTGCCTTCAAGTGCAGCGCGGGATTTTGTAACTTGTTTCTCGGGAGTGAAACGGTGAGCAAACTCTGCCTGAAAAATCTTTCTTTCTCTTTTTTAAAAAAATGTATTTTATCTGAAATATAAATAGTCACTGATCTTAAATTTATTGCAGGCTACACACATCAGAGTTAGGTGCTCATCCAGAGGATACAGCACTAACTTTTATACACTCTCAGAGGGATGGTGAAACTGAGGGTAGTCTGCTTTCTGTTTCCAGAAGTCATGCAAATGACTAAAACTGTGTTTATTGGTTGATTCTTAAGATATTCATTCACCAGTCGCCTCAAGGTGCTTTATAATGAAGGTAAAGACCCTACAATAATACAGAGAACACGCTACAATCAAATGACCCCTTATGAGCAAGCACTGATCAAGAAGTAGGCTGGGGCAGCCATCTGTGATGTATTTCAGTGCTGGACTTTGTAGACAGTCCCTGCATGCTCAGCAGGCATACAGACCAGTGCTGTTACAAAGGTCCAGGTCAGAGGTCAAGTTGTTTTTAATAAAAAGTGAGCAGAATGAGCTTCGGTTTGCTTCAGTAAGAAGTGTGAAAGACTACATTTTAAATTGCAGGCCTGCTGCTGCTGATTAAGACACGGACACCCAGCAGGACTGATGTACATGACACAAATGTACAAAGTTTGATGAGCCCTCACCGAGTTTATTCATTTCTTTCCACCCCTTCATCAATAATTACACATAGAATATATGAGTACATAAATCAGAGCACCTCACCTGCAAAAATTTAGGGCACAAAAATATCTTCAGTAAAAGCTTTAAAGTAGCTGATATCAGATGGAAAATGAAGCTTTTTTCCATAAGTGTGAATGCATCGTGAGCTGCTGCTTCAATCGTGGGTCAGTCGGCCTTTCTCTCCTCTTGTTCTCATTTTCCTTTCATTTGCTAAAACAGCTCCTGCTTCTGTGACTCATTTTGGAAGGACTGTAGCTTCACACTAAGTTCAGTTTGGTGGAGACTAACGGCCCTGGCAGTGCAGTGGAAACATGAATGATTTTGTTGCACTCTACCTATTTATTTAAAAAATATAATTTCAAGCTTAAAGGTTTCAGGAAATAATATTCTAGTTCTTCATTTATTTGCTTGCTTGTTTCTCAGCTCTTGGGTGGGCCCCTGCGCAGGGCTCCCATTGGATGATTTGGCCCAGTAAGTATGTCAGCTCACAACCATCTCTGCACACAAACCAGAAACAAAGCTTTACAGGAGACATTCACAAACCGCTGGAAACCTGGGAGACAATGCTGCTCTCAGAACAGCGACTAACACCTCTCCTCTGACATCAGGACGGCAGCGCAGAGTCTCGGCACAGTGAAGACACTTCAGCACCAAACGTATTCCTGCTGCTGTTACACACAATCATATACACACATCTTTATATGCACGTGATGTTAGGAAACTATACTTGCTGCTGCACATGCACACAGTTTAGAATCCATTATGACTTTTTATTTGAACACTGATATAACTAAAGGCATTTTTTGTTTTTCATATAATATATTCAGTTTTCTAGGAGGAGTGCACACATTTACTTAAAACAATCATATTTACTTTGTATGTTTTCTCCGAGCTCCAAAGAACTCGTTAACTGCAGAGGATCTGGGAAGGAAAACCCTGCAGAGGATCTGCAGTTAACGAGTTGTAATAAAAATGTTCTGGTTGTAATAAATATGATAAAGGAACACATGTTTTATTATCTATTAATTTAATATGTCCATTTGTTCAGGTTTATATACAGTTGCTGTGTAAGCTTCCCCTCCTTTGTGTTTGGTTGACCTCATTTTTAAACCTGTTCACTTAACAACTACTTTTCTTCATAGTTTGGGGGATTTTTCTCATAACTCTTCTATCTGATTAAAATCTAATTAGCTTCCACACTTTGTCCTTGAGCCTCACTGCTTGGGTCCCTCACAGGAGCTAATCACAGAGCAGCCCGGTCATTAAAACACAGCATGTCTTTATCCCTCTTCCTTTTCTCACCCAACCGGTCACAGCAGATGGCCCCGCCCCTCCCTGAGCCTGGGTGGGAGTTTTTCCTTCCCACTGTCGCCAAAGTGCTTGCTCATAGAGGGTCATATGATTGTTGGGTTTTTCTCTGTATGTATTATTGTAGGGTCTACCGTACAATATAAAGCACTTTAAGATGACTGCTGTTGTGATTTGGAGCTATATAAATAAAATTGAATAGAATTAAATTAAAACACACTTTCTCTGCTTGAATCTTTGCAGCTTGTGTTTTGATTCAGTAAATTTGGTGTTTTATTTTAATCCCTTTGATTCTTGAATATAAAGATATTAATAAAAGAGTTCGACTTCCCTCTTGTTTCCCATTTTCTATTTAAAAAGTCTGGCATGATTGCCTTCATCTGTGTCTGTGCTTTGAATGGAGGTATTCTGTGTGTTTGTGATGGGTTCATGTGTAGCTTGGACATAACTTAGCGTTCAAACAGGGTGACTGGTCCGTAATGTTTGCACTCAGGGAGCCTTCGGATGAAGGCTGTGGCACAGTTTAAATGCTGGGTTGTTGCTATTTTACTAGTTAAAATTATAATATCGTGTTAAAAATCGTGTAATTGCTCTTTTTGTCTATCTGTTGTAGAGCTGTGGCCACAAACTCTCTCTTCAGCTTTCAGAGCGATTCATTTGCCAACAAGAGAGACACACAGGTGACTGAGTATCACCTGTACCGCCACCTGTCGTCCTTTCTTTTTCTTTTCCTCGACAAATTTTCTATATTAGGTATCCAGTAACGTCAGTAAATTTAATTATTTTGGTCACGATATTCATTTAGAGAAATGATGATATTATAAGTCTTAATCAACCCTGGAGTTTCCCTCCTCCCCGGCACGATTTGTTGTTTCTGTGAGCTGGGATTTCCGCCTCAGATCGGAGCCCGTAAAGGGAGCATCCTCCAGGGCGGCGTGACTGTGGATCTGCGCAGCATGCAGCAGCTCTGTGGCAAAGAGGAAAAACACTGATTCATAGAAACGCAACAACAAGCAGCTCTTCAAGCTGAAGTGTGGAGAAGAGTGATGAGGAGCGGCCGGGATCCTGTGCCTGCGTCAGGCTCCCGGTTCGCGCCTGCGCCTCTTCTGAAGTGTGGCCATCTGAGATGAGCTGTTCTGCTCTGGAAATATTTGGGGCGTCAGAACGAAAACCATTTTGAAGTCATATTGATGTTGGTCTATCGCTATGAATTCTGGGGATTCTCGTTCTGCCCTCCGCGGTCCTCCCAAACTTCTCCAGCTGCGTCAAGTTGCAGTGAAATGGGCACAAATGCGCCGGAAATGGGAGGATGTTACACTAGAAAACATACCCGAGAAGCTGGAGGGAAGAAGAAACCCTCAACTGTCCGCTCTCTTTCAGTGACTATCGATATAACGTTTTTGATAACTAACACTTTATTAATCCCAAAAGGTGGAAAAGTCCTAAAACCACACAGGAAACCGAAACCGAACGTATCAAGACATTGACCTTACTAAGGTAAACAATAATAAAATAATATTTTAAATACACATATTTAGTAATAATACGGTTATAATTTATTGGAATCTGAAATTCAACAAAGCAAAATAAACAGAATAAAGCATATTAAGATTTTAAAACATAAGCACAGCAATCATGAGGTTGTGTGGGTACTTTGAGATCATAAAGGGGCCAATGTGTTCCCAAGGTGTGCAAATAAGAAGCTGGTTCATTAAAATGGGTATGAGTTATTGTTTTTGTATTTTTTAAATAGATTTTTTGTTTTGTTTTGTTCTTCTTGATGCATTCTCAATCATCCAGGGAAGTAAATCTACAAAAAGTTGAGATTTGTTTTGTTCTGTTTCTCATCTTAGTGTCACTTTCTGGAGCGACGTCATCACTCCTCCGTTTTATTATCTCTTCAGTCATAACATGGGGCGTATGAGTCAGATGCCAGATGTGAATGGAACAGATGATGTAAATAGAGACCCACATCTGTCTCAAACACACATGTATCCCCCTTCTCGGGCTTAATTGTGTTTGATAAATTTGACACAGACTAAAACAAAATACATTTCCTGTGTATTTTCTTTTCTTTTATATACTTTTGTTGGTGTTACGGTTCACTTCACTTTCTCTGCAGTCATTTTTCTTTTTAAATTCAGCAAGTTAAAAAATGTTTTTCTTTCCTGCTTTTTAGTTTTAGTAAACTGTAGACACTGAGATCATGAACCGCTATAAATGATAAATGAATAATCCTCTTCCTGGAGAAACTTCAGCTCTGCTGCCAGGGGGCAGAAATCTCTATCACCTCATACCACACCTGCTTCTATTTGTTAATATTTCTAATTATTAAACTCCCTGTTGTATCATATTTACATTTTATTCATCCATCTCTTTATTTGACCTCTTTGCTTTTATTCTTTTTAACAGAACTCCTCGTTTTGTGTCTTTTAATGTAACAGTGCGACTCTGTGCCATGTTTTATTTTATTTAGATTCTCCACGTGGTTTTATTATAAATTATGTTTGATATTTTGGCCCTGTCACAGAATAAGTTCAAACCTTTCAGATAAGTATATATTTTTTCTGTTTCATAACCTGGATGTTTTATTGTGAAGGTCTGGACCGGAAGCTCCGCGCTCTCCCTCCGTGCAGCCTGACGCCGGTGGACGCTTCGCTCCCTCCATTCATTTCATTCGCACACAGTCGCATCCCAGCAGCGAGCCGAGCCCTCCCCTCCTGTTTCTCTCCGCCTGGAAAGATGGCTGCTCCGGCGGTGTTGAGGAGCTCCGGCCCGCCGCTCTGCCCGAGCTTCGCGGAGGTCTGCTCGTTCCTGGAGCGGTACGGAGCGGCGCTGGATCTGCCCGAGATGACTTTCCCGCAAATGGAGAGATATCTACGGGACACGACTACAGGTGAGAGCCCGGTTGATGGTAGTGTTGGTGTTGGTGGTGGTGGCGGTGGGGCGAAGAAGTGCTGGAAAGCTGCGACACTTGAAGCCAAAGAAGGGGGCCAACACCACCACCACAACAACCACCATCACCATCGTCGTCACGGTCGCGATGAAGATGACGAAAACTGGAGTGTGTGCGCCTGTGTGTGTGTCTATGGCCCAGCAGGACAGCATCACACCGAGAGTTTAGGCAGCTCAGATCGGCTGTGGCGTTTTTTCGGGTCCCGGTTAGAGCCACTTTTCTCCTCGAAGAAATCGAGTCCGACTCCCCAGTTTCCGAGGAAACGTTCGGGCAGCTGGAAAACACTGGCGTGCTAACATAGAGCTAGCAGACGCTCTGAATTTAACAGTTTGGACTCTGTGCTGAAGTTAGGTGAAAGAGACCGGGGGCACGACATTTGGCCCGGGGTCCCGCGGGGTTTTAGTTGATATCAGGTGACAGGTTATCGATGATTGTGTCGAGGTTGCTATTGATCCGCTCACGTTAAACTTGATGTGGGAGCCATGATGCAGCAGTGACCACACACACAGCCAACCAGCTCGCTCCGGAGCGCTGTCAGGTGTAATTTTTCACCGGCTGCCTCACTGGCAGGCGGGCTGAATTGACAGCAGTGTCCAGTAGGTTATCGGTGCTGTTTGTGTGTATGTATTACAGCTTTAGTGGCTATTTCAGACCGCTGTCACCGCACAGCGGCGACGTTAGCTGAAAACACTGGATGTTATTTTTTTGGCCGTTAGTGAAAGGCTGTCAAATGTGCGCATGCGCAGGAGGCGCAGATTCCAGCCATTGCTAACTAGTTAGCTTCAATTATTTCGTCAACTTTTAATAAAAGTAGAAGACTTACCGCTACACTTAACACACCACGTTAGGATTTAATAAACATCCATTTCAGGATTATATCTGTCGAATGAGTAGCTTTGTAAATCGCTTCTTATTCGCTGGTGACTTTAAATGACCGTTAGATCTAGTGCTTACTAGCGTATAATTAGCCCGTAGCGTTCAGATAAACATAAGAACTAAAATGTCCATGGTAGTCATCAGTAATGTATCCCTGGTATTTTTGTTGAAATAAGTAATAACCATTACTAATCTGAATTCTAAATGTGATTCTGGGATTTTTTTTGTCAGTTTACCGTGCCAACAGAGAAAACTGGAATTTCCCCCAAATTTTGGAGTTGCGTAAAAGCCTCACACTAGACCACACAACGAGTCTCGGGCGTTTAAGGACTTCCATAAAGCCCAGTTTAATATGTCTTAAGGCTGTATTTGACCCAATCCCCATTCTTTTCTGAGTTCCCAAATAATAATAACAATAATAATATAATCATAATAAAGTTATAAATAGATTTAGTCTACACAAACGGTTAACAGAAGCAGAACCCAACAAACTAAATGTGAGACAAAGCACGATAATAGTGACACGATAATAGTGCTGAGAGGTAGTTTTAGAATTTAATATAGTATGTTATTCTGTATTTAACTGCAGCTAAAATCAGGTTATTTGTATTTTTGTAATGCAGTCTTAGAACGTCAAAAAGACACTGTGCTCTTAAAAGTTCACAAATTCAGTTAAATGGAAAAAAATACAAATTATTCACAGACAAGGTGAAGTTATTACACCTACCCTACCATTTGTTCATATTAAACTGTTAATAGCAACATGTTTAGAGCCACACACAGTTAACTATATTTAAATATATATTTAACTATAAAGTATTTATAACATAGAAAATAAGCAAACTATGGATTTTACAGGTTTAGTGTTGAAATGTGAAGAACATTCATGCTTATTGTGTTTGCTAAGCAAACACAGTAGACATGAATAGAAGCAAAAGTTTGTCGTTATGGTGTGATGTGAGTGTGCTGTTATTTCTGCTGATCATCTCTGTTTTTCAGCTGAGATGCACACAGATCTGCGCTTCTCCTTTTACGCCAAACATCTCTCCTGAGACTCACCTGACTTTTGTAAACTAGAGCCTGTCATTGTCTCAATATAATAATACAAAGATTATTTTACTTATTTGAAATCTGGAAAACTCTTCAGTTTCAGCAGCTAAGAAAATTAAAACCAAGTCAGTGAATAAGTACAAGTATTAGTATTGTTAAAAAGTGTAATAAGTCGGCCCGGGGATTAAAAATGGTGTGGAATTCCACAGAAAGAGGAAAACCTGGTAACTGTACTCACATTCCACATTTAAAAAAAATTAATCATTAACACTAAAAAAGGATCCAAGTTGAATATGAGTAAGATAAAGGTCAACAGGATAGTAATAGCAAACTCTTTATTTTCCCTACAGAAATCATGCTAATTAAACTTAGTATCGCTGACATAGAGCAACAACATCACTGTTGACTAAAATTTAATTGCTAAAAAAAAGAAGAAAAATAAACATCCTTAGATTGAGTCTTGGTAGTTTTATTGAGTCTGGGATGTCTGTGAGTTGTCTGCCTTTAGAGTGTGTTTTTATTTGTAATGTAATGATGATTAAACCAGTTAAATGTAGTCCCTGAAGAGTACTCTACTATATTTCTAATGACCAAGTAAATGGTCCCTACTGTGACAGCAGGACATCTTTTTAAGCATGCAATGAAAATGAAATGGCCAAAATGAATGAAGCATTTCCACAGTTTAAATCCAGATATCATTTAAATATAGTTTAATACTTACCTTCTTCAATCAATCTCAGATCTTCATTCTTTTATTTTTTATTTAAATGTGTGATTTAGCATACCTGAAAGAATTAAAAATTAAAAAGTGTGCTTTCTCTCCTGCAGCACCTGTCTCAGGTAAACTCGCTGATTAAATACTTCTGCCTTATTTGCAACTTTCTTGCGCCCCCTACTGGTGGCAGGATCCGTGACACAAACATACAGCATGGCTCTGACAGCAATAATAAAAAAGAATGAAATGAATAAAAACGAAACAGTTTCAAACGACAAAGACGTAAAAGTGAAACGAGCCAAGCCACTCTTCACACTAATGAAATAAAACTGTAATAATGTTTCATTTAGAATCTCAGTTTATGGCTTTTAACCCACTGATGTGATGGGCTGACACTTGGCTGAAATATTCCCTGAAAATCAAACATTTAGTCGACTAAGTAGCTGCCTTGCTCATTTATTTTGTACCCGTGACACAGTAAACATTTATTAGTTGGACTGAGTTTTTGTGCAGAGCTGATAAGAAAAATGAAGCTGCCATATATCATAACCGGCCCAGTGAGCAGTGTATTTGGTCGGGTGAGCCTGGTTTTATCGCAGCTTTTGATAAAAATGAATTAAAAAGCCCCCCCTACATCTGAAGTGGTACATGCCAGTCAAAGGAGCTGTTTTTGTCTTTTCACAGTTTACAGGTGGTCCTGTTTAGATTGATATTCAGCTGTGGTTGGTTGTTAGCATAAACTAAAAATCTGCTTGCTTTTGATTTGTCTAAAGGATTTTTCTGCAGATATGGTTACTGCATATTTTACCCTCCTACTAAAAAAATGGGAACATTTGTGTTAAACACTTTCTTTGGCTGCTGAGAAATAAAATAATTTAACAATTTGTCAACATGCCATACGAATGTAAGCACTATCTGACAGTTTGTGAGTGACTGAGCTCAGAAATGGCACACAGAGAAGTGAGAGATCAGGTTCAGATACCAGAATAACACAGCGAGGCCACTTCAGTGGGGTGAATGTTTGTTGACACTGGTTCTGGAACATTACGATGAACTGTGTTGTGTTTCTGATCGCCCTGTCTGTGTTTTCCAGTTCCTAAACCCCTCGTGGAGCTCCACGTGAAGCTGCTCAGGAAACTGGGGAGGTCTGTGTCTGCTGACCGCTGGGAAAAATACCTGGCTAAGGTGAGAGTTTGACATGAGCTCAGGAGTCAGGAAGGAAGGGTAACGTGTCAGTCAGTGGGTAAGGGGCGCAGTTAAAACTGAAAGCTTGATCCTAACAGAATCACTGTTTCTTGTAGGTCTGCCAGGAGTTGAATAGCACCTGGGCATGGGAGCTGGAACAGAAGGGCTACCAGGAGATGTCCATGGAGTGCAAGTCCAGCATCCTGAAAGTATGACACCCTACTTTACTTTGTATAAAAGGCTGAAAGTTCTCCAGACAAAGCGCTAACTACACTGATGTTCTCCACTCTTCAGTACCTCTGCGAGTGTCAGTTTGACGAAAACCTGAAGTTCAAGACGGCGGTCAACGACGAGGACCCGGAGAAGATGCGTCTCCAGCCTGTAGGTCGGGACCGGCAGGGCCTGATGTACTGGCTTCAGCTGGACCAGGAGCAGAACATCCGGCTGTACACGGAGGAGCAGGATGATCTGGACGGATCCACCTGGAAGTGCATCGTTAGGTTGTACTTTTGTCTCAGGCTGAAGTTATGTAGGTTGTCTCGTGTTTGTCTTTCTGCTTACACTCTTATGTGCGTCCATCCTCTCAGGACTCGCAACGACCTGGCAGAGGCTCTGGAGCTGCTGAAGGCTCAGGTTGATCCAAACCACAATCAGGAACGAGACCAGAACCAGGCTGGATCCAGGAGTGCCAGCCCTGCACAGAAAGAAGCTGGTATGCTGGATTATTGAGTTTATATAGTTGAGCTTTCATCAGTGCACAGAGGATTTGTAAATGCATGGTAGTAATAACCTTATAGTTTAAATGGAGTACAAAATCATTTGAAGTAGGGCTGTGCGATATGACCAAAATCTCATATCCCGATATAAGAATTCTATCGTTCAATAACGATATAAATCACAAAAATGTAACATTTTCTGTAAATTCTGTGAATCTTGAGCAGCTCCACTTGTGTGAAGTGTTTCCAGCTGGAGTCGAGTGTTTTAACCGATGCATGAAACAATACATTTTTAGACATTAGTTGTAACGGCCGCCATTTTCTTTGTGAGTATTTATTACACGGCGTGCTGCGGGGAAAAGCCTGTTCTAACGTTTGAATCTAAGGTTTATTTTTTAGCACCTGGCGGCTCATTTTTGATTCTCATCCGTAAATAATCTGCTCTTTCACGTGATTCAGTTTATTTTGAAAAGTCTCAACAGGATCTTGAGCTTTATTGTGAAAGGTTTATGTGAAACATAAACAAGCGGACACCCGAAGGTGTTACCGTCGTTGTTGCTAACGACAACGCATAAAAACAGGCGCTTGTCCGTCAGTAGTGTGGTTATATTAAATATAAGAGAAAGAGAGAACTTTAAGAAATTAATATAGCCACTACAGTCACCATCAAAATGATGAAAAAATATTGCCGTAAACAGTTTGTTTTGCGACACCACGAAACAAACGGTAGCGTAAAATGAAACGATAGACGTTTTTATATCGTCATCCGATATATATCGTTATATCGAACAGCCCTAATTTGAAGGTTACACTTTATGTCTAAAAAAACCATGCAACCAAAATCTGAGAGATTCCTGATTTAACAACAGCGAAACGATAACTTCCATTGAGGCAAAAATTATACTGAGTAATCTCAAATCCAACTAACACAGGTCAAAACAAATAATCTCAGCCCACAGCGGCTGATCTTAGTCTACAAATGTATAAAATCCCGCATCTCACCACATAAAAAAAATAAGTTATTATTCGACCCTACAGAAGATATTTTAACGGCAAAAATTGTTGAGATTTTTTCTGTCTTTTATAATAAACAAACGTTTGATTCAAACTATTGTATTTTTTTTTTTCATATTGATGCAGGGGATGAGACGATCAGAAGCACCAACCCTGAGGCCTCAAAGACTTCAGAGGACTACGCTGACAGCAAGAAGGTTGACCCTCAAAACAGAGAAAAACAAACCAGGCCAGGTATGTAGGTGAAAGAAACTGATCACATGTTTCCATCCACTATCCAAAACTAGCAAAACCATTAGAAGGACACACTAAATGCCCAACAAGGACATACAAAATGATCAAAACAAAATACGAGCAACCCGAAAGAGACTGAAGAATCAAAATGAGTTGCATCCATCCATCCATCGTCTTCCGCTTATTCTTGTCAGGGTTGCGGGAAGGCTGGAGTTTATCCCAGCTACCATAGGGCGGGAGACGGGGTGCACCCTGGACAGGTCGCCAGTTGCCGATTTACCTAACCAACCTAACTGCGTGCATCTTTCAAGTCTTTTTTCTTTCTGCAGAGGTGAAGGAGGAGCTCACACCGCCGCCCATCAAGCAGGAAAACGCTGATGCTGAGGTGAAGGAGGAGAAGACGCTCCTCAAACCGTCTGTCTTTGATAACCGCGTGAGCACCATCACCACAGTCATCAAATCAGAATCGAGGGACGCCGACGCCCCCAGGAACACAGTGTCTGTTGTCATGGCGCCCGTGGCTAAACAGGAAGAGGAAGCGGAGCGAGCGGTCGTCAGGAGCAGCCAGCAGGCCAAGATACCACTGAAGAAGAGGGAGCTCAAGCTCGCAGAGAGCTTCCACAGCAATCACATGAACAAGGCCAACAGCAGCAGTATTATTGTCTGTAACCCGTCAGTGATCCACGCCAAGGACGGTCACGGAAGGGAGGCCAAGCTGTCTAACTCATTAGTGCCCCCTGGTGGTTCAGCTGCCTCGCAGCCGCATCTGGTCGTCAGCGCATCAAGGCTGGAACTCACCAATGGGAGAGCTTTGGTCCTGCCGCACAAAGATGGGCAAAATGGGGTAGTAGGTCAGGTGGTGGGTCACGTAGGAGTCATCCGCAGCCCATCTGAGCGTCACAGAGCGCCTGGCGCCGAGCAGCAGGAACAGAACGGGCCAAATTCAGATGTCCGGGACTTGAGAGCGGCGGAGGAACAACGTGAAGGGAGCCGGCAGTCAGTGTTGGTGAGGAAGGGCCTTACAGAAGGGGAGACACCAGCGGGAGCTGCCACTTCTTCTCCTCCCCCTCCTCCTCTTCCTCCTCATGCACTAACGGAGGCTCCGACACCCACAAAGATGGACTCTGTTGGCGTTTCCTCGCTGTCTCAGAATGCAGAGGAACCCAAGAGGCAGACAGCAGAAGATGAGGGTAAAAACACCACAGAGGAGCAGCTGGACAAGGAGAGGAAGACTGGGCAGGATGAGGAGAGGGAGGAGAGGAGCAGGGAGGTGTCTGTGCTCAGTGTGGCAGAGGGATTAAAAAAAGACGACCGAGTGAAGAATGAAAGAACTTTAGTACAAGCGGAGGCAGAATCGGGAAGCTCTGTTTCACCTCCGAAACTGGACCAACAGGATAAAAAGGACGACCAGGAGGAGGGCGTCAACGGTGGGTTAGCAGAGCAGAAAAAGGCAAAGGCCTCGGAGGAGCGGCAGGGACTGCTGGAGGAAGCTTCCTCTGAGCTCCAGAAGGAAGGAATCAGGCTAAAGATCAAGATTCCTCCCCACCGGAGAAACAAGCTGAAGGGGAAGGCGATGAAGGAGGAGGAGAAAGGGAGGGAGCTGGAGACGCAAGAGGAAGGGAGGCCGCTGAGGAGGTCTGCGAGGATCTGCAGGTACGTGTTCAGTAACATCCACGAAGCTGGGGGATCACACAGTAATGTTTGTTTCTTTTTGTCCATTATTCTCAGCTGCAGTCGGTTTGATTGTGACGATAAATTCATCCCATCTAAACCTCTTTTCTTGAAGATCATCTGCTTTGCCAACCTGCAGGCCAAGCTCGAAGGTGGCCGAGAGCCAGAAGAAGAACCCACAGAAAAAACATGCATTACCCACCAGAACGAGGGAAGAAGAGGAGGAGGATGAGGATGAAGAGGATGAAGAGGAGCAGAGCTCAGCTACGAAGAAAGACAAAAAAACTGAACCTGTCGAGCAGATAAGGAAGCGAAGGGTAACAGTTCCTGTCAGGTCATTTTTACCTTGTTGCTCTTTTTCTTCGTCTCTGTGACCATCTTGTTCTCCCTCTGGCTTTCTGTACTTCCAGGGTAAACGAAGGCACCGGCGCCCCCGGTGGTCAAACATACGCACAAAGAGGCGCAAACTTAACGAGGGAGGGGAGGTGGAGGACAGGGGGAGGAAACGGGGAGAGGAGGAGAGCGAAGGAGGGAGCGACTCAGAGGAGGAATCGTATAAATCCGAGGAGATTCCCAGCGAGGATGCCTGCACTCACTGCGGCCTGCCCAACCACCCCGAACTGGTGAGTGTGCGCTCGCGTGAGTGCTTACAGATACAGAGATGTCTGGACGCTGCGCCAGGTTCTGCTTTAGTCCTCATGACTTGAACATAAATGTGAAAGCTCATCCTCCAGGCTGTGCTGACACTAGAAGACACTTGTTTAAGGTGTCTGCAGTCTGTGTGCACACGTGTGTGGGAGTATAATCCTGACTTAATGCTCAGGAGTCTGAGTGGGAGGAAATCTAACATCCCAAAATCTTCTGCAAGTCTTTTGGGGGGTGTGGTCAGCAGACCAGATGGTTGTAGCCAGAATGACGTCACTCATTAGTTTGTGACGCCCCGTTATCAAACTCCAACTTGAGCATTTTCACCATCATGCATTGTTTTTCCTTAAAGTCATTTCTAAAAATAATTCGAGGGTCTGCGTCTCTTTACTCTGAGTATATAGTTTTGTGCAGAACCTAAAATGCTGCTGAAACCTTTTCAGTTTTTATTGTGTTGTTTGTAAACTGTCACCAGTTGCAGCTGCACTCTGAAAGAATTTGGTAATAATGCCTAAAAGACAGAGACACGGACAGAAACTCAGAGGCTGCAAAGCAGATGTTTGATAACTTTCTCTGAATAAAACCATAAATGATAGAAGCTGTCATCTCTGCTGGTTTGTGTGGAGTTTAATGTGTGTGTGTGTGTCTGTCCTTAGATCCTGCTGTGTGACTCGTGTGACAGTGGATACCACACTGCCTGTCTGCGGCCGCCTCTCATGTTGATCCCCGATGGAGAGTGGTTCTGTCCCCCCTGCCAACATGTAAGTGTGACACTGAGAGGATGGACTGATTCCATCACGTCTGCTGATGAGAATATAACTCCTAAAGTCCTGTTTATGGTTCAGATGACTGACAGGAGGAAGCAGTTTTGTTACTGATACTTGATGCTTGCTCACGAAGAGTGAATATAAACTCCACATTAACAAGTTCCCAGTTAACAAAAGCCTGGATCCTTCCAGCGTAGCTTTGCACGAGTCACAGTTTGAAATAATTCTCCTTAATTCATCCTCACACTGAGGGCCTCAGTATGCTGACTGTGGCAGCTACATACCAGTTTACCAGTGCTGGGGTGCGAGTACTCACTGTGTTGTACGCCACTCAGACAAAAGCTCCAGATCAGCTTTTGTAAAAGAGAAGAATTAAAACTGGAAGAGGGGTGGGGGGAAAAATGGATACTGTGTAGTATCGTGATATTTTGTTTGCTAATAATGTATCGATACAGGGACAGCAGAAATCGATATTTTGTTACAAAAAAGGTTTTTGTGCTCTGACTTCAGAGCATGTTGATCCTTTTTCTGAGCAAGAAT